CTTCTGAGAGTAATGACTTCAACTTCATTTTCTCCTCTGAAATCTTGTGCACGATCCTTCCCCAAAATAGATGGCCAACTGTGAGCTGGAACTGTGCAGGAAAAGGGATTCTAGAAATCATAGTCTTCAGTTTAGATGGGAACAGTAATGCCAACCTGACAAAACACAATCCAACACAGCCTCATTCTTGTATTTTTCCTCTTCATCCCAACCCCCACTCCTGTACTTTTTATTCTTCTCCCTCTTGGAGGTACTCACTTTAATATCTTTGATATATCTTTTATTATTTATGTAGCCTCATAAAATATGAGTGATTTTTTTTGTGTTTTTAAATTTATATTAATGATAACGTATCTTATTCTGTTTCTTTCTTTCTTCCATATAACTCTGTTTTGAAATTCCATCCATGTTGCTGAAAGTCTATCTATCTGTTGCTTCCCATTGCTACAAAATATTCAGTGGTATTTGCTACATTTTACTTGCTCATTCTTCTAGTAATGAACCTTTAGGTTGTTTCCAATTCTAAGTTACATTCAGAAAGAAATACTGCAATAAATAGCCTTATATATATTCCCTAATGGACTTGTATGAAAGTTTCTCTAGAACATATATCCAGGAGTGGAATTCCTAGGTCATGGTGTCTATGCATTCTTAATTTCACCGAGTTCTCCAGAGTAGGGTACCGATTCAAACTATAGTGGCATTTCCTGAGAGTTCTGTTTCCCTAGGAATTAGTTTTGTAACTATCACTTTATAACAACTTACCACAAACTTAGTGACTTAAAACAACACCCCTTTGTTAGCTCACAGTTCTGTTGGTCAGTAGTCCATGGTGTGTCTGGGTTCTGTTAATACTCAGGGTCTCCCAAGGCTGAGAACTGCCATTCAGTGTTCTCATCTGGAGCTGGAGCTTCTCTTACAAACCCATTCCTGCTCTCAGCAGAATTCAGTTCTTTGCAGGTGTAGGACTAAAGTTCCTGTTTTGTTGCTGGTTGCTGGCCAGGTTGCTCTCAGTTTCTAGAGCCTTCCCTAACACCTTTTCATGTGTCCTTCAAGCCAGCCATAGAATGTCAAATACTTATCATGTTTCGAGTCTTTGACTTCCCCTTCTACAACCAGCTGTAGCAAACTTTTTTCTTTTAAAGGGCTCATGTAATTAGGTCAGGAACACCCAGAAAATCTCTGAATCATGAGGCCATCTGATTTGGAACTTTAATTAGATTTGCTAACTCGCTTCACATCGGCACCTTGCTTAGTGGTTTATTGAGTAAACCAGGGGCTGAGAATCTTGGGGCACATCTTAGAATCTGTTTGGCACATCCTGAATCTATACCTATACTTGATATTATACAACTTTCTAATCTTCGTCAATTTGATATATGTAATGATTTTTTAAAATTTATTTATTTATTTATTTTTATGGGGGAATTGGGGGAGGGGAACAGACAAGTTGCTGTCCTTTTGTTCTTCAGTCTAGTTGTGGAGGACGTCGCTTCACTGGCCCATGTTGGTGTTATAATTGCGCTTTTCCCAGGTGAGGCAGATCAATCGTCGGCCATTGGACAGCCTCTCATGGCGGCTCTTGGCAGCTCATGCCGGCTGCTGGCTGCTTACAGGAGCCCCACTGCAGCCCCACTGCAGCCTACACTGTCGCTGGCAACTCATGGCAGCCCAGCTCCAGGTGGAGCTGTTGTTCACCATCTTAGCTGTAGAAGGCGCAGCGTCACTGGCCCTCGTATGGGATCCAAACCGGGGCCCCGCTGCTCAGAGCTGGCATCCCAAGCCAACTCTTAACCAACATGCCACTCGGCTGGCCCTATGTAATGAATTCTTAAAATGCCTTGTTTTAATTTACAGTTCTCTAATTCACAGTGAAATTGTTTCTCCATACATCTTAGACATTTAAATTTTCTTTTCTGTAAACCTACTTTTCCTATTCCTTGCCCAATTGGGGAGCATCTTATTTTCTTTCCTGTTTTCTTGGCAGGAGGTCTTTTCATATTCTGTCCATTAATCATTTGTCAATTTTAGATATTGAAAATATTTTATTCTAAATCCGTCATTCTTCTAACTTTGCCTATATCTTCTTTTATTAAATAGAAATCCTTTATTTTAATGTAGTACAATTGATCAATATTGTAATTTATCTTTTGCAGTTTGGGGATCTTCTTAAAGAAATCGTTAACCACTGGCAAAATCACAAATTTGGATGTTTAATTCATGTATTCTTTCTTCATTACTAACATAAGCATTGAAGATTGCAAATCTTAAATTTCCAATCTTATAGTAGTACTTTTTAACCCTGTCAGATCTCATAATTACTTGTTTATATATACTTTTTTTTAAAATTGAGGTAAAATTCACATAATAAAATTAACCATTTTAAAGGGTACACTTCAGTGGCATTTAATACATTTACAATTATATGACTGCCACCTCTATCAAGTTCCAAAACATTTCATTACCCCAAAAGAAAACCCCATGCCCATTAAGTAATCACTTCTCATTTTCCCTCCCCAAGACCATCAGTTTCTATGTATTTATGTATTCTAGATCTTTCATATAAATAGGATCATACAATATGTGGCCTTTAATGTCTTTCTGTTACTTAACATAATGTTTTCAAGATTTATACATGTTTTAGCATCTGTAAGTACTTCATTTCATCTTATGGCTGAATATAATCCAGTTGTTTGGAATATTACATTTTGTTTATCCATTTTTTCATTGATGGACATGTGAGTTGTTTCCACCATTGGCTATTGTGAATAGTGCTGTTTTGAATATTAATGTACAAGTATTTACTTGAGTACTTAGGTTTAACTCTTTTAGGTGTATATACCTAGGAGTAGAATTGGTAGGCTGTATAGTTATTCTTTATTTTTTTAAGGAACCACCAAAATTAAGTTACCCAAGTAACTGTACCATTTTACATCTCTAGTTTCTTTCCATTATGGTCAAAGAATATAATTTGTATGATTTCAATCTTTTTAAATTTATTGAGAATTGTTTTATGTCCTAGCATATGGTCTTTCCTGGACAATGTTCCATGTACACTTGGGAAGACCGTGCAGTTGCTATTGTGGAGTGAAATCTACCATTTAAAATTTTCCTATTAATTCAGCATTTGTTTGGTTGCTATAAACTTTTCAGTATTTTCCAGAGTTCCCACATTTGATTCTGACAGTTTTCACTCATTATTTTCAGTTTTACTGTAGAGGGACAGGCCTTCAGAACTGCCTGTCCCACCCATTTTGCTGACGTGACTCTAAGCAAGTACTTTTTAAAACAAATATTTTATAAGGTCCTTTAATATCCTGAAATAAAATTTTTACGTAATATAATACAGAAGTTTTATAAAATTAATGTAATATATTCATTGTAATGTAAAGAAGAAATAAAAGAAATAATTCATAAAAAAGTAGGATGAATTTCAGTATGTAAATGCTTACTATGACATTGGAAGACATAACAAAGTAGTGATATGTTTGTAATTATTTAAGTAAGGTGGATTTAAGAGATGTAAGAAGATCAGACTCCATTTTGTACAAATGCTAATAAATGAAAGATAAAAAATCTAGTCACAAAGACTGGACTTTTTTATATGTACAGGAAATGAGAGAAATCACTTTAAAGAGAAGTTGGATAAAACACCAATACAAATTATAGACTAAAGAAGTGAAGGAAAGGAGAAAGTATAATATTCTTATAAATGTGTGCGGCCTTCTTTGAAAAATAATTGTTTAGTAAATGTTGAAGAAATATCAGAGCACATATCTTTTATTATCATGTCAGGTCAAATATTTTAGTCTTGAGTTTTTACGTCCTTGGAAATAATGTCCTTTCAGTGATAATGGGATTCTAAGATGGATTTTTAAAAAGCAGTGATAAGACATTTAGAACCAAGATCAAAGTAAGCTTAAAAAATAATAGGCAATTACAAAATAAGTGAAGATTTCAATTGATAATTTTTACACTAGATGTCTCATTCATACACATAAATACCTATACATAATATGCAACCAATGGAGTTAAATAAGATATCTTCATTTCATGTATTTCTATAATTCAGTATTTGATACTAAATCTCTTAAAAGGAGTCTTACATCCTATATTGCATATTTAAAATTAGCTTTGTTGCTTTTATAGTAACTGTATCATTACATTAAAACATTTTCAAATACATGCACAATTTGAAATACAATAATAGGTAAATTAGCTAGCCTCCTGTCAAAAAAATGGGTATAATAGTCATAACTTGATCCTGAAACTTTCTTAATTATACTACTTAAATTGTGTTTAAATAATTTTTTAGCTTAACTGTTATAATATAAATGTTGGCTAGCTTATTTCCTACCCATGTCAAATGAAATAATCACCCTATCTATATTGCAAGTTCATAAAAAATTTTAAGTGTAATTACTCATCATATCTTTTAAAGATAAGGTCCTGTTCTTACCTCTGAGAGGTGGTAAAAATTAAATGGAATAATTTAATTCAAAAGTTTGTTTAAAAGTTTATAATCTGTTTATAAAAATCTGAATTAAAAACATTATTATAACAATGTTATGATAATAAAGACAGCACACGTTCTAGAGGCTATTCCCTTGAGAAAATTAAATCTTAATCATGGGTCAAAATTTTAAGAGATTCTGTAGTTATTCACATTTAAAAATTTTAATTCATGGTCTCTTGCCTTAGTTTGCCCCTCAATAAAAATCACTTTTTACGGAAAAGTGTATTTTGTGCCGAAAGTACTTTTTCCTTTGGTTGTTGTATGTTTTGAGGATATGGAGCAAATTTCCTTGACCTAAGCACTTTTCAATCAGGCATTTTCTCTTTTAGGGTGTGTACTGAGAACTATCTTTATTTTCATGAGAATGACCTGTCCTCACATGTGTTTAATTGCATTATGATTTTTAGTTGTGGCACATGTGAATGTGAAAAGCAGAGCAAAACATGTAATAGCTTTTTTTGTGGTTTGTGTTTTTCATGTGCAGCCTTCAAGCAAAATAAAGTTACCTGAGGAGAATTTCTTCAATGTTCCTGCTTTCTTAACTGTCTCAGGACAACTTCACCTAGAAGTGATGTCAGGGTATAGAATTTTCTTTTCTCTTTTGCTTTAATGGACTATTAATTATGGGGTGGGTGAGAGTGAAATAATGCTTCCTTTTCCAATGTTAAAATGTAAAAATTGAAATTAAAATAGTCTACCTGAATTCACTAAAAGGACATTTACTGACAATTTCCAAATTTCTTATCAAAAAAAAAAATCACATTAGTCTAGACTTTGTTTTTAGTGAGAAATGTAACACCAGAAATATGAAATTGTGATGTTTTTCATTTTACTAATCTTTTTTTGCTTAAATCTCAAAATATATAATCAAAATTTTAGTAGAACTAATCATATATATGAAAACAAAGGCAGTTCATACTTGAACCAGATATTAACCCATTAATATCATTAAAAAAAAGAAAGGTACCTGAAACAAATGGAAGAAAAATATTTTTAAATAATCGGTTTACATAAAGAAAATTAACCCTCAGAGCCATAATGAGAGACAGGTGGCAAATTAGAAATCTTAGCAGTCACATTGCATTAATTTTAGCCATTCTCAACCTCTGAAAAGTCACTATACTACTTTCAGCCTGACTTTACTTTTCTTTAAAACAGGGAATTGAAAAGGAAGATCTTTAAAGTCTTGTCTAAATCTTATATTCTGTAATTCTGTGGGTAATATCTTAATCCTGACTCAAATACTGAGTCTCCTTTGCACATCTTTGTTTTCTTATATAGAGATTAAGACTTAAAAATCGCTTCAAGAAATGGCTTCAATGAAAAAAGGGGATCTTTATGTGTTCCCCGTTGTTTTTAAAATGCACAGGTGGGAAAACTCAGGAGAAATAGATAGTGTTCATGTTTATTTTTTTATGTACTGGCAGGATGGAAAGTCAGTGGTAAAGATGGTCTTGGAGTTCGGGTAAAAATGGCAGAGTAGGCGTTTACAATTGGCTATATAGCATATTAAGTTAATTTTAAAGAAACTGAATAAAGGACATACGGAAATTCTTTGTCATTTTTTTTTACTTTTTGTATATCTGAATTAATTTCAAAATGAAAACTTAAAAAATAATCATTGATGACAAAAAAAAAAAAAGACGGCCTTGGAAAATAACATATACTTTACGTAGATTCTTTTCTGATTTATCTTTGAGACAGGAAGGTGTTATTTGATAATTCCAATAACCACATAATTTGACAATATTATCAGAATACTGTGCAGAAAAACTATCATCCTAATAGCCCTGTGAGATTGTAGGATTTGAAGAGCTGTATGTGGGAAAGGCCATGTCAGACATGTCATGGGAAATTCGTTATGCCTGTCAAAATGTAATTTTATTTTATTTTTAAATTTTATTCCCATCCTTCCCCCCTCCCCTTTGTCAACCATCAGCTTGTTCTTTTTCTTTTTTTTTAAATTTCATTAGGGAACAGCCATGGTCATTAGTTACATATTGCTTTCATGCTACAATGGCATAGTTGACTTTTTTAAGGAGGATACAGCTCACAGTGGCCCATGCGGGGATCGAACCAGCAACCTTGGTGTTATCAGCACCATGCTCTAACCAATTGAGATAACCAGTCACCCCATCAGCTTGTTCTTTATATCTATGGATCTGTTTCTGTTTTGTTTTATTTATTCATTTGTTTTGATTTTTTAGATTCCACATATAAGTGAAATCATATGATATTTGTCTTTCTCTGACTTATTTCACTTAGCATAATACCCTCTAGGTCCATCCATGTCACATATGGCAAGATTTCATTTTTTCTTTTATTGCTGAATAATATTCGTGTGTGTGTGTGTGTGTGTGTGTGTGTGTGTACACGTATGTGTACATATATACCACCTCTTCTTTATCCATTCATCTATCAATGATAGTTATATTACCTATAAAATTTATGGGTAATATAAAATTTATAGGTAATATAACTTCCATATCTTGGCTATTACTAATAATGCTGCAGTGAACATAGGGATGCAAATATCATTTCGAATTAGTGTTTTTGTTTTTTCTTTGGATAAATATTTAAAAGTGGAATTGCTGCATCATATGGAAGCTCTATTTTTAATTTTTGAGAAATCTCCATACTGTTTTCCATAGCAGCTGCACTAATTTATAATCCCACCAACAGTGTACAAGGGTTCCCTTTTCTCCACATTCTCACCAGTACATGTTATTTGTTGATTTATTGATGATAGCCATTCTGACAGGTGTGAGGTGATATCTCACTATGGTTTTGATGTGCAGTGCCCTGATGACTAGTGATGTTGAGCATCTTTTCATATGCCTGTTGGCTATCTATGTGTATCTTTGGAGAAATGTCCATTCAGGTCCTCTGCCCATTTTTTAATTGGATTATTTGGGGAGGGGTTTGATGTTAAGTTGTATAAGCTCATTATACAGAGGGTGCCAAAAGAATGTATACACATTTTAAGAAAGGAAAACTGTATTAAAATTGTAACTCGATATATACCAATAACAAAAGATGAATACAAGTCACGTTTGACTTCTGCAATTACACAAGGTGCTCAAATGGTTACCATCAGTGTCCATACACTTCTGATGACGGTGAACTACTGCTTGAGCAACGTTGACCAAAGTGTCTGCTTGTATACATTTTTTTTGGTACCACCCCCCCAGTATTTTTTAGATATTAACCCCTTGCCAGATATTTCATTTGCAAATATCTTCTCCTATTTAGTAGATTGTCTTTTTGTTTTGTTGATGGTTTACTTCACTGTGCAAAAACTTTCTAGTTTGATATAGTCCCATTTATTTTTTCTTTTGCTGCCCTTGCCCAAAGAGATATATCTAAAAAGTATTGCAAAGAACAATGTCAAATTGCCTATGTTACTGCCTATGTTTTCTTTCACGAGTTTTATGGTTTCAGATCTTACATTTAAGTCTTTAATCAATTCTGAGTTTATTTTTGTGTATGGTATAAGAAAGTGTTCCAGTTTCATATGTTTTATGTCTCTGTCCACTTTCCTCAACACCACTTTTTGAAGAGACTGTCTTTACTCCATTGTGTATCCTTGCCACCTTTGTCATAGATTAGTTGACCATTAATTGATCAGTTCTTATGCCTGTCAATGTGAAATTTTAAAAAAACAAAATATGACTTATTCAAAAAAGTGAACATGTTTCAAATATTTTACTCAATTCATTAATTACTGAGGTCAAGTAAAATAGTAAGACTACTTCAAAGAATATTTAGAGCTGTGTATTCATAGGAAATTTAATAAAGGAATTTTAGAATAAGATTGCTAGATTAGTTACAAACTAGTTAATATCCTGCAGACCAATAAACACTAACCTTTGGAATTTTGTCTTCTACCTGACAGAAATGATTTACAACCTTACTGGACAAAATCTACAAGTTAATATGTATCTTTACTTAATCTGGGATGTTTAATTCAATAGTAAATATTGAAGAATAATGGAGCAAAGTACATTCACCTAAGTAATTAAATGACCTCTGAGTGGGTCTATGTCTCCATATTACAGTTAGAGGACAGGCTGTATTTTGGCCTTATATCCAAGTTTTGGATAACCTTTCTTAACAGCCTTTCAATATTCATTGTTTTATCTATAAGGTTAGAGGCAAGGTATCTTCCCTTCCGCAATGTCATAATATGTGAAAGGTGTACATTTACCAAATGTTTGTTTCTCTGTTATAGTACTCCTAGTGGATTAACTATGTCCACTCTTTCCCAGTAAATTGCAGTGAACCACAGAGCACAGTGTACAGAGAAACTTGAGAGAAGATTAAATTGGCAGAATATGAGGTTTTGTGTTTTTAATGTGTTATGAAGTATTTCTAATAATGTCAGTCAAATGTTTCTTGTTTAATATGCATAGTTCTAGGACTGTTAATATGCAGTGTATCGTACTTCAGATTAATGCGTAATTTAATCTCCAATGAGAAATTGTTAGTCTTCTCTCCCTTAGCTTTGTTTTTGTTTTATTTTATTTAACAGACTTTTAAAATGGATTAAATGGTAGTTCAATTTAGAAAGTTAACATTTTCCAAAAGGTATCTATATTGATTTGGTGGGTTTATGGCTCCATTTTAAAGTTGAATTTTAGTGTTGTTTTTAAGTAAACTTTCTATTTTTGAATAATTTTAAATCCAGAAAAGTTGTGAAGATGGTGCAGACTATTTTTATGCCTCTTACCCACTTTACCCCATTGATGACATTACCATGGTATGTTTGTCAAAACCAAGAACCCAATGTTAATATATTACTGTTAACTAATTTATGGACTTTATTTAGATTTCCCCAGGTTTCCATGAATGCCTTTTTTCTTTTTTCCAGGATCCAGCTCAGGGCACCACATTATATGTGGTTGTCATGCTTCCCCAGTCTCTTCTAGTCTGTAACAGTTTCTCAGTCTTTCCTTTATTTTCATGACTTGTAAAAATGTATCCCAGTCTGGATTTGTCTGATGTTTTTCTCATAATTAGACTGGAATTATATGGTTTTTGGAAAGAATACCCCAGAGGCGAAGTGTTCTTTCTCATCACATCATATCAGGGGATATGGGATATCCACATGGTGATTAACTGTCCTTACTTGGATAAGGTAGTGTTTGCCAAGTTTCGCCACTGAAAACGTGCTATTTTTCCCTTTCGCTATTCTTTGGAAATAAGTCACTAAGTCTAGCCACCCTCACTGGAGGTGTGAGTGGGGGTTTGGGAAGTGGGAGATGGAATTAAACATCCCCTCCTAGGAGTGGGAGTATCAGGATTCTTCTGTATGGAAGATTTGTTATCTTTTTACCCTTGTGTGTATATTTATGTAATCATTTATATCAGGATGGATTCTTATATATTTATTTTATCATTTGGGTTATACTTTAATTCTGTGTTACTTATTTTGTTGCTCAAACTGTTTTAGTTTTAGCTTTTGGGAACTCTTTAAGGTTGACTCTTGTGTTCCTTTGATGTGTCCTTATCCTTTTTGTTTTGTTTGGTTTTTGTTTTTTTTAGTATTTCCTATTCTCTGCTACTGTAAGATACCCCAG